AAAATCTAGATTTAGAATTTCTCTACAAAATAATTATAAGACATCTTTCCAGTACACCATCCCTACTTCAGAGTGCATTGATGTCTAAATATGCATGATAGTTTTGCCTGGACTGTAAACATCATTCGTAGGTGGTTGGCAGGTGCTCTGGTGTTGTTTGCTTTTTTTTCCTATCAATCATCTATCATACTTATCTCTCCTCCTTTTTTTGTGTTTGTTACTCTCTGGTAACGCCTCTAATCTTTGGCACTTATATGACCTTATTGTTGCAAGTGCCGTAAAACACTTACTAAAACTAAAAAAGACATTTTTATGATCCAGGAAATCAAGGTCTGAAGGGAGGGAAGTACTGTGTGTACTTCAACTCTATGTCTACTTTCCAGGCAAAGCTGTATCAATGCTTTTGATGTGTAATGCTTTACAACGCCAAAATAATTCAGCTTTGTTTTATAGAATCATCCTGTAGTGGTCAGCATTGACTGTTGTGCCGACGGGAACCGGCTAGTTAAAAAAACACCATAGTTTTAGAAATCGGAAAACATGATGTACATCACATCACTTTCAGGTCACCTTGCTTGGGTCAAGCTTTCTCACAACTTTCTGGGGTCATGGTGATCCTGAGTTTCTCCATTCTGCTGATTGTCTTTTTCAGTTGTGGATCCCACGAATACACCCATATTTCATTGCCTGCTATGATTCTTCTAAAATAAAACGCCCCTTTAGTTAAAGTTAATGGGATTTCTCCTTCGTCTGTCTGGATGATGATTGAGAATGATTTGATACACCTGAACTTCTTGAAATGACAACGGCTTGCATTATAGCGCAGATTTTCGGTAAACAAAATCTCACTCCTCCTAGGGTGACTTTACTAGCCTTTATTTATTATTATTAGATTATATCATCATTTTCAGTTCAGCACATAATTATTATATGTTCGTTTTGTTTTTGAGAGAGGATTCATTTCATCCATTTTCATTACATGTGGACTCCACTGTCCAATGTACGTAAGATTTTAAGGTTACATGTACTAAGCCTACCAATATAGGCCTACCTAAGTCGTGAACTAGACACTAGTAGTAGTACATGTGCAATGTATACCACTTAAGTACATGTAGTCCAATAGAGATATCAGATGCTTCAAATCTTGACATGTGGCCACACATGATGTAGCCTACGTTTGTAATAATTGTATCTACTCGTTTATTGTTAGGCTTGATGACAAAGGATGTTAGCGGGTGTGCTTTAGCTTCTTCTTTTCTACGAAACATCTATCGTCCTTACCTCTCATCCTTTTTTTTTCTTTATATGATGTTGTTGTTGTTGTCGTTGATACTATCAATCCAGCAGCAGCTGGGCTCTCGCCCTTCTGTCCTATGCTATGTAGTGTAGTGATAAGCGCAGGTTTGCTGCAGTTGCTGTAATGTTCCAAAGAATGTATCGTCAATGTTAGGTTTCGGAGGGTGGAGTGTAGCTCTGATGTCATTTAAGGCTGTACAGTGGAAAAGGAGATGATCTACAGTCGCATGCATAGTCACACAAAGAACACATTGTGGGAAGTTCTGGTTTTATTCTGTTCAATTCTTTATATGATACTCTCCAGTAAATTAGTAACATCTTAAATCGGCGGCACTTATCCTATTTATGTTGCAAGTACCCTAAAAATCGTACGAAAACTGAAAAAAAGAAGAAGTTGACTCTGCTGTGTTGGGGGATGGAGTCGTCTGCTCTGGGGTGCAGGTGTTCAGAGAACGATCAAAGAATTCAAGAAGCATGATGGAGACGAAGCTATGAGAGCATGGCGAGCTAATGGCTGAGGGCACAATTTCCGACTGAGCGGTCAATGGGGTTCACTCAGTGGCGAGAGCTGGGATCTCAGGAGATTGGTTCCATTACATGTGCATGAACAGGCATCATAGTTATAACTGTCCCTGTGATGTTATGCACCCCGCATAGTTTAGCAATTTTCCCATAATTTCTGATTATTTTTCTTTATCTTTCTTTGTTAAAATCAACAGAATCGCATAATTTCACATTTTTGTGCTCAGTTTGCATAATTTCAGAATTTTCCTAGCATAAAACAACGGGGACAGTTATAATTCTTTTTTCTTTCTTTCTTTCTTTCTTCTTTCTTTCCTTTTTTCTTTCCTTATTTCTTTCCTTCTTTCTTTCCTTCTTTCTTTTTTCTTTCTTTCCTTCCTTCCTTCTTTCTTTCCTTCTTTCTTTCTTTCTTGCTTTCTAGGCCTCGTTTGCCCTCTAC